CTTGATCCCAGGACCCTGGAATCATGACCTGAGCCCAAGGGAGACGCTTAACTGACTGAGCCACCCAGGCACCCCCCATCTTTATTTTTATGTTTTACTTATTGGGGGACTTCCTTGACTTTATATTCTAACACTTTTATAATTTTCTTTGGCAATCATAATCTTTTTTTTTTTTTTAAGATTTTTTATTTATGGGGTGCCTGGGTGGCTCAGTTATTAAGTGTCTGTCTGCCTTCGGCTTGGGTCGTGATCCCAGGGTCCTAGGATCAGCCCTGCATCGGGCTCCCTGCTCAGTGGGGGTCTGCTCCTCCCTTTTCCACTCCCCCTGCTTGTGTTCCTGCTCTCCCTCTCTCTGTCAAATAAATAAATAAAATCTTCAAAAAAAAAAAAGATTATTTATTTGAGACAGAGAGAGAATGAGTCGGGGTGGGGGAGGGGCAGAGGGAGAAGCAGACCCCCGCTGAACAGGGAGCCTGACATGGGGCTCAGTCCCAGAACCCTGGGATCCTGACCTGAGCCAAAGGCAGACACTTAACTAACTGAGCCACCCAGGTGCCCCTGTGATCATAGTCTTAAGAGCTCTTTCTAATTTTTTCCATGTTTCTTTTTTATACCATCCTGTTGTTTCATGTCTATATGATCTTCTCTTACTTGAGGATATTCATTATTGTATTTTTGAATTTTTACTCTGTTCAGTTTCTCAGTTTCCTATTTGTTTTGGTCTCTGACTTTCATGTTAGAGGCTTTTATTCTGTGTCTGATGAATATTTAAGAATAAATTAATGAAAGCTCTGTGTGCATGGCTGGGCCTTGTGAGCTATAGACTTCACTCTGAGGATATTGGGTAGGAACCTAGTGGTCTCTTTGGAGGACTCCCAAAACATCAGTATGGAAAGTCTTCTCTCTGGAGAAGACTGGGTGGAGGAAATTGGGAGATGATCTAAGGGTCCTCACATGGGTTTTCACTCAGTTCCTCTCTGTTCATTCTTCTGTGGTACCTAAATTGTCAATTCCTGAGCCCTTCTGGGGTTCTGCAGTGTGAATCGGTTTGCTTTTCATGGGGGGTTCCCTCTTTTAGCACTTGGTATTCAGCTCCCTTGAATTCTTCCATCTGCCTTCTCTTTTCCAGAAATTGTGGTTACCTTTGTCTGCTTCCCAGTTCTCTTTGCCCTTGGGAGTTCCCTTTCTTTCTCCCCTCCCTCCCTTCCTTTTTATCTCATTTAGTAGTATTTTAGATGGGACCACAAATAAGCATGTGTTTAATTTTCCACATTTAACTGGAAGACCAACTCCAGAATCACCTTTATTAATCCAGATTATCCTCATTTCCTGTTGTCACTAATGGCACAGCAAAGTTTGCCACCTGCCATGCCACCAAATCTCCTTGACTATTTTAGTTGCTTATTTCTGGATGCCCTCCTGCTTCAGAGTACTGTCTTTGCTGTTCTGAGCATGGGAAAGGTATGATTTTGTACAAAGAATGCATTTTCCTTTTTAAGTATATTGCCCTCTGATAAAAACCCAGTGTCATGGCCATGGAAACCCAGTCCCAGAAGTATACTGCATCCCCACAGGGTTCTTCAAAGGGCATTAGCTTCCCCCATCTCGTCCTTCCCTTTCACTGGTCTTTGTCCTCACAGGCCGAAGATGCGATGAAGAAGAAAGCTCGGGCCACCGCTGAGGTGAGCAGCAGGAAATGCCAACAAGCCCTGGCAGAACTGGAGAGTGTCCTCAGCCATCTGGAGGGTTTCTTTGCCCGGACATTAGTACCCCGCGTGCTTATCCTCCTTGGTGGCAGTGCCTTAAGTCCCAAGGAGTTCTACGAGCTTGACTTGTCCCGCTTGGCCCCCAACAGCATGGACCAGAGCCTGAGCACAGCAGCTTGTTTGCGCCGCCTCTTCCGAGCCATTTTCATGGCTGATGCCTTCAGTGAGCTCCAGGCTCCTCCGCTCATGGGCACCATTGTCATGGCACAGGGGCACCGGGACTGTGGAGAAGATTGGTTTCGACCCAAGCTCAACTACCGAGTGCCCACCCGTGGCCACAAACTGACTGTGACCCTGTCCTGTGGCAGACCCTCTATCCCAGCCACGGCCTGGGAGGATTACATTTGGTTCCAGGCACCGGTGACACTTAAAGGCTTCCATGAGTGAATGGGGGTGCTTCTTCATCGTGAACACAATGGCTTAAATGATCTTTGCCCCTGTGGCATCAAGTCACCCATCTCTTGCTTGGAGCTGGAGTTGCTTCCTGGTGAGAGGAATGTTCTGTCCTTCCAGCTGCCTGCCTCCCCTCCTTAGACTTCCTGGTGGGCTGGTTTTGTGGCTGTGGCTGTCATAATTATCACTGAACACATCTCTTTGAATCGAAGGTTGGTTTTCCCAGAAGGTGCTGGGTCAGGCATTTCTGTTCGGGTTGGAAAGCAAATGTGGGCCCACAGGCACTCTTATGGAAGTGGCCCTATTACGCTTTTTGCTGTGGTCTTTCAGAATTTTCACTAGGGACATAATGAAGTTGAATATAAAAAAAATGAATGGATTTGCATTAAATTATCCTGTAACTCTTGGCTTAAAGATGTCCAGGGTTAAGATTATTTTGTCTTTCTCCTTGGCCTCTTATGCTTCAGGGCTTCTAGGATTTTTTTTTTTTTTTTTAACTGATGGTTCTTTCTCTTCATCAGCCCTAGGCCCATCTGGGAAGTGAAGGGACTTGGCTAAGGTTCTGTAACACTTTGATGTCAGAGTTGGGACTAGAGTCCTCATCAGCTACCCGCTAGCCTGACCTCCTTTCCTTGCCACATAGGGGTTTTTGTGATCATTACGGTATGTGCCAAAGGTCACACAGGGGAAAAGGGGCTGAGAGATTGGGCTGAGAAAGGAAAACTGAGAGGGCCTTTGCAAAGCTGCAAACCCGCGGGAACAGCTCCCGAGGCCAGCTGTCCCTTCGGGGGTTCTGCCTAGCCTGTCTGCATTGCCGTCGTCTGGTGGCCGCGGGCAGTCCCTGTTGGCCACACTGTCCTTAGGCACACCCCACTCTCCCACCTGCAGCACTTCCCCTCAGCTGCGCCTCTGACTTGGCCATCCTGATCTTTGCTCTTCTCTGGCTTGTTGCCATCCTGACTGCTAAGCATTGATGCTCTTTGTCCCTGAGAACACCTGCTTGTTTCTTAGAAGCAAGTTGAAGACAGAGTGTTGGAGATAGGCAGGTTTGTGTGTGTGTGTGTGTGTGTGTATGTGTGTAAATGGGGACAGTATAAATATATACTATTTTTTATGTTTTACGAAGAATGTTTTATGGTAAGAAAACATAAAACATGGTTTAAATTTTACACTCTGTTTTAAGCACTTTACATACATGGTCTCATGTAACAACCTTCCATAGTATGTGTTGTTCCCATCTTACAGATGAGGGTTGGGAAATAGAATAACTTGCCTATGTGGTGAAACCTGGATTCTAACCCAGTCCACCCGGCTCCAGAGGCTGAGTACTGTACATTGTGCTGTATGGCCTGTGTGGTTTTACTCTTAAATAAGCAGGCTCACTCTGCCAAAGGTGGTAGCATTGGAAATCTGCAGGACTCCCTTCCCTGGCTTCAGACCATGGTTCCTGACAAGGAAGCTGCCGGTAATAAGTGGTTAGTACATCTGGAATCAGTGAGGACAAAAGGTTTGGGTGATTTTTGGTGCTGTGACCACTTGAAGCATATTCCACCAGTTAGAATTTCAGCTGGTTTTTGGTTTGAGGATACTGCATTACAAAAGAGGAACTGGGGCCATATCCTACTTGGGAATGGACAGGGTGAGGACTCTACGGGGAGGAAGAGTTTTGGACAAGGGAGTTACAGATTGTTCTGAGATGGAAAACACCTTAGGCCAAGTCAGCTCCCTCAAATTGTAAAAGCCTTCATAAGCAATGCCCAGATAATCAAAACAAAGTAATTATCTGGGTAATTTAGACACTTATTTCTCTCTTGGCTTGGCACGGGGGACCACATCATTCTGATTGCATGAGTCCTCTCCAAAGGAATCCAGAAATGAAAAGGTCAGTTAATATTAACAACAGGCTGTTGGGCTCCCTGCTCAGTGGGGAGTCTGCTTCTCCCTCTCCCTCTCCCCCTGCTCATGCCCTCTCTCTGTTTCTCTCTCTCTCCCTCTCTCAAATAAATAAATAAAATCTTAAAAAATTCAACACATCCCATCTCTTTCCTTGACAACAGGCTTGCTGAGGCATCTGTTCACCTGTTTGACCTTGGCTGGGGACTCTGGAGTTGGATGTGACGTAGTCTCTAACCCAGGGAGTGAAAAGCCCCAGCTGCAGTAGGGTTCTGGCCTTTTCTATGTTGCTACCATTTGGGCCTAAAAGCAACAGTTGTAGGGCCGAGGTAGCTAAATGTAGGTGGCAGGTGATGTCATCCTTTTTGTACTTCTCTTCACACCCTGCTCCCCCAAGGTGTGGGCCTTGCCCCAGTGCCTAGGTCTCCATTTGTCACTTGGGTGGAATAGTCCTATGGAAGGGGTGAAGAGAGACATCTCATGAAGACTGAGGAGAATGGAACGATGGACCCCCCCCCCCCCACTCTGTAGGACCTGGCTTGGGGTGGGGGTTAATTGTCTTAGATTCCTAGACTGTTAGAGCCAAGATCTCAAATTCTTTTCTTCACACAATTCTGAGGCCAAGAAGGGACACAACTGGAGTGAAATAATACAGCTAACGTTACTGTTGGGTTATTTTTCTTCCCAAGCCCTCATTGCATATACGGTGAGGACTCAATTTTTCAACTCTTGGAAAGGCTCAGAAAAGGCAAAAATATCCATGGAACTGGGGACCTTCAATCCCACACGGTAGGCTACCTATGTTAGGGGAAACCACGCCGTTACCGTGACAGCAGAACACGTGCGGTCCCCAACGCGGGAAGGACCGAGGACAGGAGCCGGTGTGTGCCCTGACTTGGGGAAGGAAGGGCTGTGTCGGGAGCAGGGCGGGCCTGAGGTTCCGGGAGGGCGGGGCCGGGGGCGGCCGGGTGGGTGGAATCCTTCCTGCCCGACGGAAGGGCAGAGCTTTAGGTCTCCATGGAGACCGCTTCTCCTGGCAACCTGGCGGGCGTTGATCAGAGCCGTGGGCGCAATGGACGCGGAGAGCCTCCTGCTGTCGCTGGAGCTGGCGTCCGGCAGCGGGCAGGGCCTCAGCCCCGACCGTCGGGCCTCGCTGCTCACCTCCCTTACGCTGGTGAAGCGCGACTACCGCTACGATCGGGTCCTCTTCTGGGGCCGCATCCTCGGCCTCGTCGCCGATTACTACATCGCGCAGGGCCTGAGTGAGGACCAGCTCGCACCACGCAAGACTCTCTACAGGTTGAGGCGACGCCCTAGCAGGCCGCGGCGGTCCCTGGCTCCTGAAGGGGGCGCCACCGGGCGGCCGGGAAGGGGTGGGCGTGGTAGGACTCGAAAGGGGTGGGGCCGACGGGCTCCGGGCGGCGGGTGGACAGGGTCTGGGGAGACCCAATTGGAGAAGGGCCCAGGGGGCGGGGCCGGGGACGCAACTAAGCTGGTGAGGATTAAGGGGCCGGGACCTGAGAACATCGCGGAGCAGGGGCGGGGGAAGAGAAATTTGGACGTAGGTGGGCTTATAATACAGACAGGGTCAAGAACGGAGGCGGAGCAAGGTGAAAGGTCCCGGAGAATGGGGACCTGGAGTAGACGCCGGGTGCAGGCCTGGCATTCTGAAGAGCACAGCTTGGAGAAGGGTCAGAAGCCCTAAAGGGTAATGAGGTGCTGTTTGGAAGCGGGTCCAGAAGTATCTTCGGTGGAGGAGTTGGCTCACAAAAGGAGGCGCTCTAGGAAGTAGAGAACGAATGCAGAAAGGGAGAGGAGGGATTTAGAACTGGGGGAAATTCCCCAGACGCTACCTTCCCTGCAAGGCCACCCCGCCTCTTTCTTGACTACCCCCAGCGACGTCGGGAAGCTCACCACCTTACAAAACAAGCCATTCGAGCCGCAGGGAGTTGGAGACTTCATTTATCTGTCCATGCATCAATCCAACATTGATTGGAGGCATTCTTTGTAGACTTGGGGTTACAAAGATGGCTAAGACTCACCTGTCTCCAAGTTATTCACATCCTAGGAAGGAAGACCGATATGTAACCCAGCAATTAAAGCAAAGTGTTAATCCCAGGATAGAGGGGTATGCAAAGGGGGACCGAGGGGGGCCTTCTAGAGAGCAATGAAATAAAAATTGCTAAGAGAGATCTGAAAGTTGATCCGGAGTTCCCCAGGAAGGTGTGGGGGAAAGGCATGCCAGTTAGAGGGAAGAGTTCTGCAAACTTGGCTGGAGTGGGCTTGGAGTGTTTGGGAGAACTGCAGGTAGGTAAACCTGACAATGGCAGGCCAGGGTGTTACGTAGACTGGATGGAGAGTCTGGGGATTTGTTCAGGGGCTATGGAGAGCTGGAGAGCCATTCAGGGGCCTTAAGCAAGAAGAGCCTGCTCAGGCCAGCCTGAAGTGGGTGAGCATCCAGGAGACTGTTACAGTGTCCAAATGAAGGAGGCTGCAAGGGAGAGGTAGCTGAGGGACTGTAGGTCAGGGGATGGGTTGGAAAGATATAAGCGGTGGCACTGGCCAGACTTGGGCCTGAATGGGAGAGGTGGAGAAGCTAAGGCGGCTGGGTTAGTCCTAGTGCCACTCACTGGAACAGAATTCAGGAAGCCTCATTGAACTTGGTATGAGGTGACTGTGGGGGGCGGGGCAGGGTCATAAGGAGGCATATTAAAGTACAAACCCAGAGTCCAGACAAAACATCTGGACTGAAGATAGAGATTTGGGACTCATTTTATTCCATAAGTTTTTATTTCTTCAGCACCTACGATGTGCCAGGCATTGATCCAGGCACGAGGAATTCAGTGGTAAATGAGACAAAGTCCTTGTCTTCATGGAGTCTATATTATAGTGTGTGGGGGTGGGGGGGAGGGGAGACAATAAATAAACACAAAGATCGCAGATCTAGAGAATACAGGATGCGGTACTGTTTTAAATAGGATGGTCAGAGATAGTCTCTCTGATAAGGTAACATATGTGAAGAGACCTGAAGCAACTGAGTGAGCTCTGTGTTCATCTGAGGGAAGAGAATTCCAGGCAAGCGCAAAGGCCCTGAGGCAGATGTGTACTTAGTGTTGGTCGAAACCCTTAGAGTCTAGTGTGGCTGGAGAGGAGGGAACATTATAGGACATGAGGTCAGAGAGGTAAGGGACCAGAGGGCTTTGTGGGGCATTGCAAGGACTTGGCTCAATGGGAAGTCTTTGGAAGCTTCTACACAGAGACATGATCTGGCAGCTGGGTGGGAACTAGACTGAAAGGGGAGCAGGTATGGATTTGGGGAGACCAGTTAGGAGGTTACCGTTGTATCTAGGTAAGAGTAGATAGGGGCTTGGACCAGCAGGGGGCAGTGGAGGTGGTGAGAGGTGGTTGGGTTCTGGATACCAACTAGGCAGTAGCTAGGGCCTTGGGAGTCAGGTGGGCCAGCCTGCAGAGAGAAAAGAGGGGTGAGAATAGATCCCTGGGAATGCTTAGGGCAGTGGAGGAGAGAGAAGGGAGATGCATTTGTTGGTTTTTAGGTCCTGAGGATGTCCTCCTAAGCAGTTTTGTGGGGTGGCAGGGGCAGAACTGACCGTGTAATGGGCAGAGTGAAGGTGAGGGGAAGAAAGGCTTCCACGGGGCCAGTTGTTCTGAGATTATTGTTTAGAACTGGAGGAGAGGAGTGAGGGACGGGAAAAGACTATTTTCTAGCAGGGCATGCCTTTCAGGGCTGTTGTTTTAGAAAGCTGAGAAGTTTTGATGTTGAGAAAGGAGCCCGTGGAGAGTTCTAGAAGGGTGGAAAGGTGAGCAGGCCTACCCCAACAGGCTGAGTGGGTTAGAGAGGAGTGGGGGGATGCCCTCTCCTGTCAGGAGTGGGGAAGAAGGGACTGGGCTGGTCAGTGCTGGAGACCTCAGAGGACAGGTCCTGGAGCCTGGGACCGGCTTTCCTGAGAAATGGGGGAATGTGGCCATGCTGTTGGCTCAGTAGGCAGGCGGAGCATGAATTTGGGGCCTACCAAAACAGAAGCGCTTGTAATTGAGGAAAGTTCAGCTTCTAGAAGCTCATCAGGAATTTCACAGTGCAGTTATCTAGGAAAAAGCTTTTTGGAATTTTGGTATTTACAAAGCTTTTGTGACCTTGACTTTTTATGAAATAAATTTGAATTTGCCTCACACACGGGGGTAGGGTGCACCATAGGCACTTAGGCCTTGGAAGGGGAGAGGTGTGACTCCCAACATTTTTCTTGGGCTTCATCCTCAAGAGAAGGGGTGGTGGCAGGAAGCCTGGAAACCAGGATCATGGGGATGTCATTGGCAGCCTGAACTGCATGGAGTGGAGCCTCTTGCCCCCGGCCACGGAGGATATGGTGCTGCAGACGTCTGTGGTGAAGGGCCGCTTCATGGGGGACCCCTCGCATGAATATGAACACACCGAGCTGCAGAAGATGAGTGAGGGTGAAAAGGTCTTTGAAGAAGAAGTAGTGGTGAGTGAAGACGAGAGCAGGAGGACAGAGAGAGCCTGGGCCATCCAAAGCCCAGCCCAATAGAAATTACGGGGACAATAGCATAAAGCCACACAGCTCCTGTGTGACAGGGTGGAGAGTGGACGGGCCGCTCTGTCGGGAGCCTGGCTCTGGGCAGGGCCTGGGGGAGGGGGTCTGTGTTGTGCTATGGGGTAATGGGATGTGCACAGGCTCTCGTATCTATCAGTTTTTATTTTACTGGATAATATATCCACATGATTTGCAATTTGAAGGCACAAAGAGGAATTTAGCAAAGTGCCCCTCTCATCCCTGTCTGCCAGTCCCCCAGGTCCTCTTTTTGGGGGACATTAACGTAACCCATTTTGCACGTGTGTGCATGCCCACATCTTGCTACGCAAAGTGCTGTCTGGATCAGAAGCATCACCATGGCCTGGGAGATAGAAATGCACACTCTCCAGCTGGTATCGGGATCGGAATTTTTAACATAGTCCCAGGGGATTCGAATACACATTAAAGTTTCAGAAGCTCTACTCCCAGAGATATTTGATGCAAATACAAGCCTCAGCAAATACCTGACCTCTACATAGTCTCTTTTGATCTTAAGACAAAACAAATGGCAGACATTACTCACACAGTTCTGCATCTTGCTTTTCTCACCTAATATGTTTTGGAGCTCTTTCTATGTCAGTACTCTAAAGAGCCTCCCCTATTGTTTTTACTGTGTGTGAATGTCCCACAGTCGGACCAGTGTCTTCGTCGTGGAAATGCATGACGTCTCCGAGTTGTAGCTCTGACAGGCAGTGCCACACCAAATGACCTTGTATGTGGTGTCACTTCCAACGTGTGTATGCTCTCTGAAGTTTCAGTTCCTAGAAATGGAACTGCTGGGTCAAAAAATACGGAGTGCAAATTTTGAAACTAGACAAACCTGGAGTTCAAAGCACAGCCTGTGCCCTTGAACCTGGGTGAGGCCAAAAGTCTCAGTCGAGGCCTATGATGCCTCAACTTCCGTCCCCACCCCTCTCCCCCACCCCACCTGACAAACTCAACCTCCCTGAGGTGTATTTTCTCAAACAATGGGATAATTATATCTACTTCATAATCTTGTACAGGTTAAATGAAGCAACCTATGTGAAGGCCCTGGGCTAGGCATGTGTAAAGCATTCGTTTCCATCTAATGTGTAAAAATTCCAGTGGGCAGCTCCTGGGAAATAGGTGGCGGAGTGACTCTCAGGGCCCCTGGTGACACGTTTTCCCTGTCAAGTGCTGCTTTTCTCTAGACATTGCTGCGAAGTCCTTTTATTCAGGGTTGCCCTTGATATTGATTGTAACCAATTTCATCCGCGTGAAAATGTTATAATATGGGGTGGTGCTTGAGAGGTGTTAAGTCAAAGCATAGCATCTGAAACTATATGAACTGAGACTCTTATTTTAAATATATGCACAGAAAAGAGAATAGAAGGAAGTATGCCAATATGTTATTAGTGATTATCTTTAGGAGGTGGATGATGAATGGTTTTAATTCTTTGTGGAGTATATTATAAACTATTTCTATATTACCTAAATATTCTACAGTGATCAGGATTGCGTTTATATTTTAAAAAGGCAAAATAAGCAACATTTACATATGATGATAGGATGGTATGTTTCTGGAAGAGTACATAAAAAACCATTAACAGTGGTTGCCTCCGATGAGGGCAGTTGGAGGGTCAGGGATGGGGTGAGAGAGACTGCTATTTTTTTTTTTTTTTGTAGTTTTAAATATTGCACCATCAGTATATATTACCAGTTTAAAAGAGAGAGGAATGAAGGAAGAGAAGGAAGGGAGGGAGTGAGAGAGGGAATCTTGAGAGGAGGAAAGGCGAGGGCTTGCCCAACATGATTTTCCATGGTCTTGGCATCTACGTGGTAGTGATCCAGGTCAGGTGGTCATGCAGAGGGCCCTTGCACCAGGGGTGAGTGGGCACAGCACTCTTGCAGGTTGGCTTGTCTCCTGTCTCCTCAGGTCCAGATCAAGGAAGAGACCCGCTTGGTGTCTGTCATTGACCAGATTGACAAGGCTGTGGCAGTCATCCCCCGAGGAGCCCTTTTTAAGACCCCTTTTGGACCTACCCACGTCAATCGGACCTTTGAAGGTGAGGTCTCCAGGGCCCCTCTCAAGGGCAGGAGGGCATCTCTTCCCAAGCATAGTCAGACACATTTCTGGGAGTCCTGGGGAACCGGTCCCACTTCCTCAGAGAAAGACCAGCTGTGGCCATATCACTTGGGAGGATGTGCTCCATGGCCTGGCATTGGTGGGTTGGCATGGGCTGCCCAGTCACTGGACCCTGACTCTTTTCTGCCTGAGGGTAGGAGAGCATTTGGCCATCTGGGTCCCAGGCTTGGCCATCTGGGCTCCCTGCCTTTCCCACCTTCTTCCTCTTTGGTGTCTTCTCATCGCAGGGTCTGGAGCAAGGCTGGGCTGACAAAACACAACTCCTTTTTCTCCCTTTAGTTCTGTCAGTATCTGACTGAGTCCTTTGCAGGCCTCTCCATGTGGTCCTCATGCAGGGAGAAAGGGAGGCTGTGGGGTTTGGGCACGACCATCCCTTCCTACCTACCACCTCTTTTTAGGACTGTCCTTATCTGAAGCCAAGAAGCTTAGTTCCTACTTCCACTTCAGGGAGCCTGTTGAGCTGAAGAACAAGACCTTGCTTGAGAAGGCTGACCTGGACCCCTCCCTGGACTTCATGGACTCCTTAGAGCATGACATCCCCAAAGGTAATAGCCTACCTATGACTTGGAGGACATTGGATCTGCCTCCAGGTCAGAGCAGTGGGTCATGCCACCTGCCATTCTCCTCTGAGATTGGAACCAAGGGCCCGAGTGGGAACTGGTGGTTCACTGGGGTTCTCTGAGGGTGGGGGCTTCCCCAGGGCCCAATCCAGAGCTCAGCTCATAATAAACAGTTGGTACATGTCTTCAGACAAAAGGAGGCACTGTCTTCCATGTGATTCCACACACAGGAAGTCTCTCAGTGCCTCTCTTGATTTCCATACCAGTCTTGAAGGAGGCAGGCTGGGGATCCTCTCCCAAACATCGCTGAAAATATCCCTGCAAATACTAGCCACACGTCTATCCTAACTGTCAGTTTTGGGGATAGATCCAGTGCTCGGCACGTAGCCGGTGCTCAGGGAGTGGGTGCTGAGCGACGGAAGGGCAAACCACCTGCTAAGGAAATGAGTTCTGTACATTTGCTTCCCGCTATGTGCATGGTAGGTTTTAATCTTAAAACGTGCAGCCTCAGAGGTCTTTCAGGGCCCAGCCGGCCCAGGCACACCCCCAGCAGTTGGGGGGTGGGGTCCCAGGGACCCCATTTTCTTCCCCCGAGCTGTGCCATAGAGAAGTGTGTGTCCTGGGAAGACGCTCTTGCTTGGAGGCTGTCTGCCAGAACAGGTGCCAGGCTCTGGGCAAGTGGGGCCGAGGCCCTGGGTGCTGACACAGCACCCTGCCTCGTTCCCTCCCCACGTTTGGGGTTTCTGAGCACTGCAGGGACCCGCTATGGATGCCGGCCGTGCTAATGAGGATAATGACAGGAATGGCGACTCCTGAGAGTGATGGCCCTGCTTGCTGTGCACAGGGCGCTGTGCTCAGCCCCCTCCACGCCTTATCTCACGTTCCCCCTCACAGCCACCCTGGGGGTGCTACTGTTTCATCCCTGTTTTACAGGTGAGGAAGCAGGCTCGGACAGTGAAACCAAGGACAGACACAGTGAGCCTTAGTCTCCAGGGCTCTGGCATGAACTGTAGTGTCAGGTAGATGAGTGTTTCCTTTTCAGTGGACAGTGGGGACGGCAGGACAATCTTTGCCCCCACCATGAGGGGGACCACTTCTGGGGAGCATGTGCACTCCCAGCCAGGGAGAGGGGATGGGATGGCGGAGGCAGGGACTCTGGCATCAGACGGCCTTGGCTGGGATCCCAAATCTGCCACTCGCTAGCTGTGTGATCCCAGGGCAGGCCCCCCACTTTCCTTGTGCCTCCATTCCCTCATTCCTAAAAGGGAATAATGGTATTTTTCACCTCATTGGGCTGTTCTGAGAATGGAATGGGTTAATGGATATACAAGATGTTTCTAGCAGGGCCTACCACATAGTAAGGACTCAAATGAAAATTAGTCATTATTACTAGTGTTATTTTTAGTGGCAAAAAGGCCTTAGAGGGGAGTCAGAGCAGGCCAAGAGGACCGAGGAAGCCAAGGGGTAGGAGGCCTACAGCAAGGTGGTGGGAACTGTGACAATAAGGTGCACAGAAGGACGGAATGGGGCCAGGTAGGGATCTGGAGGCCATTTCATGGCTCCTGCAGTGCCCCAGGGGCTGGGCAATGGTCCCAAGCGGCTAAGGGCTGCCAGCAAGGAATGGCCACTCTGGCCTCTGCCACATGGGAGTCCCAAGTCAAACCTCCCTGAGCATAGCACGGGCCTCCTGGACCTGCAGGGGAGATAAAGAAGGTTGGTAGGGGCTGGGGCACTTCTCCCCCACAAGACACGCTTTCCAGACTCCCGTTATCTCCCCCAACTCTGTGCTCCCAGCCTGGCCGGAAGCCAGAGTGGCCTGCACATCCCTGGTGGATACAGGAAGCCAGCAACACTGTGGTGGTGGGACATAGCACCAGGGTCTGAGGGGCGGGCTGAGAAAAGTCCTCTTCATACTGCTAATCTGGGGGCTGTAGCCCTGCTCTGCTGAATCTGGGCATGGCTGGAAAGCCCTGCTCCAGGGCTCACCTGCAGCCGGATGCTCCAGGGCCCAGGGATGCTGCACTCCCTCCGCAGTGCTGGCTGACTAGGGGACTGACCCAAGAGTGCCTCCTTCCCTTTGGAGCTTCATCCTCTGCGGTGGGAGCAGGGAGGGGTGTGCTAGGGCCTTTGCAGCCAAGACCAAAGCCAGCTAGATGGGGTGTGGGGACCCAGCAAAGTCTACCTAAGGGAACCCCAGCAACCCTGTCTGCCCTTTCATTTTGGATAAAGGGGACACAGGAGGTAGCTGTCTCTCCCTGCAGCTGGGGTTGTAAGCTATGGAAATTTGGGGGATGTTCCTAAAGGATGCTGGGGCCACCCTGATGTGTCTAGTCGGCAAGTGAATTCATCAGGAGGTAAGAACCTGGGCCTGGGAGCTAGGTGAGCTGCAGTGGCCTGAGGCCCTAGACATCCTGCCCATACGGCGGGCCTCAGGGCTGAAGGATCAACTGATGGTTCAGTCTGCCCTGGCGTATGGCTTTGCCTTCAGTGCTGGAGACTTCGTGGCTGAGGGCTCCTGGCATCTGTGTGTGTGGGCCTGAGGGGGGATGCTCCTGGCCTCACCTTGGGGAACATGACAGCTTCTGGGCCTCCAGCTCCCTGCCTCCCAGAGCCACTATCAGAAAACCTCCAGGCAGTCAGGCCCAGCTTTTCCTCATGATGACCTGGTTGGGGCTGTGGTGTTGGGGGGTGGTGGTGGAAGTGTGGGTGGTCCAGGGAAGAGCGCACACTCAGATTTTGCTCCCGGACTCCCTTCCTTACCTGCCAGTGAAGGAGCAGAAAGAGCTGCTGGGAGGCTGCCTGCAAGGCAGACAGCAGCCTCAATGGGCCTGGCTGCGAAGTAGGGCCAAAATCCCAGGGAAGGGTTCCCTGGGACACCAGCACTGGCTGGAGGAGTGGAATTTGACAGTCGTTTTCTGCCCAGGTAGGATAATTGTTTCCTTTCTGGGACAGAGGCAATTGTTCAGGGGGACTTTGGGTCACCTGTTAGCAGGGATGGTTTAGGTTGGGCCTGCCCCGGGGACTCCTGTTCTCTGTGTGCGTGGAGGTAGGCCAGCTCAGCAGCTTGTTCCTGGACCAGCCATGGTTGCAGACAGGATGGGGAGGGATGTTGCCTACTACCACCAATGCCTTCCTGAGCCATCCTGCCTTGCCCTGGGGTCTGCAGAGTTTTGTGGGAGTGGGTAGCTGTGGGGGCAGAACCATCATCCTGGTGGACGAAGGGCCAGCCAGGAGTTCTCTGAGCCTGTCTGCAGTCAGCTGAGGCAGATGGAGCACCAGGTCGGGCCAGATTTCTAGGCAGCACTCCGTTCAGTGCTCCTCAGCAGATAGCCACTGAGCAGGTACTGCGTGCCAGGCAGCAGGATGCCCTCGCCCACCAGACACTGCCCTTGCCTCACAGAGGTTTGGGAAGATCACATGAAACAGGATGGGAAGTGGAAATGTGAAATAGAAGGTGCCTCACGAACAAGGTCACTGGTGTCCTGGGAAGCAGAGCCGGGTGTGGGGGGCTGGAGGGCAGAGGCTCTCTCCTTACTCCACTCAGGGGCTGGAGCCCACGGATCTCAGGAACCGCCGGCCCCCGGGGCTGCGCGCCTGCCGCATTCCGGAGCCAGGCAGCAATGCCCAGTTCAGGCAGCAGAGGGCAGCATGGGGCCTGCCTGCCGGCCTGGTGAGGAGGAGGCGGGCGACGGGGGAGTCAGGAACACTGGAAACAGGAAGGGAACACCGTGGCAGATCAGCTTTCTCTTGGGGGTGTGTGCAGGTGGCTCCTCCCACCCAGGCCCTTGGAAGCCTGGCTGACAGGTGCTTAGCCTTCTGGACCAGGAGGCCCGGCCTTGCCCATCGAGTAGGGCACTCTTCCATCAGGGGATTTGACCATAACTTGTGGCCCTGGTGGGGGGAGGGGGGAGTGACCACCCTGAGAGAAGTGACCGATGGCCATTTCTGTGTGTGTGACCAGTTGTGTGGGGCTGGTCTGAAGACAAAGTGTAAAATCATCTGCTGTGGCTGGAGAGCCCCGACCCCCAGTCTGGCCCACTCTGTCCCTCAAACGCCGTCTCAGAGCTTTGCTGCGTTTCTTCCAGGAGGGCACGCGAATGTAATCATGATGCGCATGCCTGCCTGAAGCTAGCCTGAGGCTTCCACTAGCCCTATGAGACCCCTGGGGCCCACGCAACCCAGGAGGACTTCCTGACAAGAGGCTCCATCCCTGATTTACCTGCTTGCCCCCCACCACATCCTCAAAACACAGCTCGTTAAGAGAAGAGTGGCTGCCAGAGGGCAGGAGGGAAGTTTTGGGGAGACTTAGGAGAGACCAAGGCCACAGGAGGCTGCTTCCCCTGGAGTCTGAGAGGAGGCGGTGGCAGTGGCTGGGCCCGGCCTTTCCAGCAATTGCAATACAAGTGGGTGAAGGTGACAGTGAGTGCCGGGCTCTCCAGGTAGACGCTACGTGACTCCTGGCACGTTGAAGGTCTGTGCGCGTGTGTGTGTTTCCTGGGCGACCAGCTGAGCCAGGGACAAGGAGAGGAGGACAGGAGTGTGACAGGAATGCAAGGGAGGGAGGGAGGCAGTGCTGCTGGCTGGCCGGCCCCTCACATGCCACTTCCATCCGCCGCCAGCACCCTTCAGCCTGCTTGGCGCGCCCCCTTGCCCCGGTGGGGGTACTGCATTTCTCTGGCATCCCTGCCAGCTCCCCCTTGCTCTCGGTGGGGGCTGGGGGGGCCCTGCTCAGTCTGGGCCCCTTCATCTACTGGAGGCAGGAGGTAGGAGGTGGCCAAGGTTGTGCGAGGGAAGGTCAGCCCTCGCCAGGGTGTGCCAAGGTGCTGGTGACTGTGAACTTGAGAGTGAGGCCTCCAGGGTTTCGTTTCTTTCAGGGCATTTGGGCCCAGGCAGGTTGTAAGCTGCCCTCCTGGGTGGGCAGAGGGAAGTGAGGCAGAGCCTGACCTGCTTTCAGTTCAAGAGAGCTGTGTGGCTGTGGGCTCCGAGGGCAGGGACTGTCCCCAGATGATGCTCTGGGCACTGGTGGGAGTGACTGGATGGTGGTGGGGGGGTTGGGAACGTACCTTCCTGGGGTCTGTTCTTCTGGCCAAAAGCTGAATGCCATGCACTGGGGACACTTTGTTCTGTCACACCCTCACTCCCATTCCCCCCAGGCAATCTGTTTTCTGTAACGAGCGACTGGGAAAGCAGCAGGCTAGGGCCTCTAGAACTCTGAGGGCAGGTCTGGGAGGTGGAGGACCTCAGGTGCTCAGAGAGGAAAGTTGTAGGAGCCAGGGGAAACACTACCCTCTTCTCTGGCCAGGAAAGGGCCCCCTCTTCCCAGTGTCCCAGCCAGAGCTCTGGTAACCCAGGGGCCCTCTTCTCTCTCGATGCCATCTGGCCGGCACTGTGTGGGCCTGGGAGCGGGATGAAGGCCACACTGTGGCTTCCACTGCACCTTCTCCTGAACAGGTGGTGGTGGCACTTGGTGCCGGCTGACCTACATGCACCTGGAAAGCTCTGGCTTTGACCCGGGCAGGTGGTGGCACCCTGAGCAGGACTGAGCTGCTATGGGGCCCCAGGGCGCCTAGGGGTCAGGTCTCTCAGATGCAGGGTGGCCCCTGATGGGTGGGGACGGAGCCGCGAGGCTGTTGGGTGTGGAGTGACCAGGGTGGGCCATGGCGGGAGGAGGCCTGTGGGAAGCTGGGGTGGTGGGAGCCAAGCAGCCGGGCTGAGCTGGCAGCGGATGAAGGCCTCGGCACATCACTGGCTGTTCCAACACCAAAACCTTCAAAGCCTTTGCCTTTCTGGCAGGGCCTGGAGCAGAGCTGCGGCTGGGCTGGGGAGAGGCCTCAGTGCGCAGGGGAATAGAAGCTCCAGATCTGCATCCAGAGGCGATTTTCCCAGGCTCCTTCCTCCCACACAGGGTCTCCCTCCCTTGGTTCTGGAGCCGGATCAGGCCCTTCCCGCCAAGTCCTCATGGCTGCACAACTCAGCCCCAGGCTGGGCTGCTCCTGTCTGGGGAGCAAAAATCCAGGGCAGAACCCAGCATGGACAAAGGCTCATTAGCTGCAGCCCAAGTCCCCTCCTGCCAAGCATGGCTCCCAGTCCACCGGCTGCCAGGTCGGGCTATTGAGTTGGGAGGCCTGAAACAGCTCAACTTCTGTGCGCCCCTGGTCAGGTCTAATCCATCTCAGAGCAGAGGCTTCTGGGACTGGGGACGAGAGAGTAAAGGGGCAAGAAGGGCAAACTGCGTCAGGACTGCAGGTCACCAATGACGGGCTGCCCCTCGTATTGAGTGGGGAAGCCTGGAGAGAGCCTCTCCTAGCCGGGCCCCATCTCTCCGGCCTGTGGACTCCCGCTTCCTCCCCCATTCAACCTTTAACTAGCCTTGCTGACAGGAACAAAATGAAGCGGGGTGGGCTTCACCTCTTTTCATTTCCTTTGCCCTCCCTCTGGAAGTGGTTTTAATGAGCAGTGAAATGGCTAAAAGGCAATCAGGAGGAGTAAAGTGCCGGATAATTAAATTGTCTTCCCTTTCCCAGTGGAACCGTAGCACCCAGGCCTCCCCTCCTGTCCGCCTCCTCGCAGGGTCCTGGAGCATCCAGATGGAGAGGGGCAACGCCCTGGTGGTGCTGCGCAGCTTACTCTGGCCAGGCCTCACCTTCTTCCATGCTCCCCGCACCAAGAGCTGTGGCTCGATCTACGTGGGCACTGGCGAGAAGAACATAGACCTCCCCTTTATGCTGTAGCAGGGGCCGGCCAGGGGGAGTGTATTAGAGTCTAAATGTTACTTTCATAAATGGCTGTGAATTTGGTCTGTTTGTTCTGTCCCACTGCTTCTCCACACCTCTGACCCCGTCTGGTGTCCAGGCTCTGAGGACAGGCCGCTGTGCCAGAGGACCCAGCTCTAGAGCAAGCAGTGGAGGGCTGGAATGTGCTCATGAGGGAGATGATGGTGGGTGGAAGGGGCTGGGGGAGGCGGGGACAGCCAGGAGTCCTCGGAGGAAGCCGAAGAGCTGAGGGCTTGTCAACACAGGGCATGGGAACCCACTTGGCCTGGAAACTTCGTCTGGTGGCATTCATGTGGCCTATCACAAGAAATGAGTGACTCAGTGCTCAAGAACTGGCTAGAAATGGGCTCAGGCCCCCTGCACTTCCCAGGCAGCAAGCACACACCCAGCGGCAAGAGTCCATGAGCCTGGTTTATGACATTGGGGAGAAGTCCTGTTCCCCCGCACTGAACACGGCCCACGGCGGTCATGAGACCACCGCTGCTGCTCAGGGACCCAGCCATCTTCCCGGTGCTGTTGCCAGGCGGGCTGGGGACACTGAAGTCGGTCCCACCGCCTCTTGCACCTGCCAGAGGAGCTGGGCCGCCGTGGCGGGATGGGGCTGGAGTGCGGGCACTCTGGTCACGTTCTCCGGGAGCCCTGCTCCCAGTCAGTGATACAGCATCAGAGGCTTTCTTGAGTAGGAGACGTTGTCTTTCAGGAGGGGTGACCCCACGGCCATGCGCACTTTGTTCCAGCGGTGGCCTTTATTATAGATGGGCTTGACAGAGCGTGGAGACCAGCGCGTGAGGTACCTGTGGAGGGTAGGGAGGTGGCTGTGAGGGCTGGGGGGTGCATGCTGCAGCTGGGACAATGGGTCGCGTCTCCTCGGGCCAAAGCCGTTCACCAGTTTCCCTTCTCAAGGAGCAGGGGCTTTTCCTGGGAGCAATGGCTGAGTGTGCCGTAAACAGATGGGCTGGGCTCTTGCGGCCGCAAGCGTGTGTGGCCAGGGTCAGGCAGCCCAGGGCCACGCGCTCCCTTGATCTTTATGAGTTGTCAATGTTTGTGTGTATACTTGCTGGGGGAGGCGGAGGAAGAGGCTGCCCAGAAAGCAGATCATTCCTCTCTGGCCTCAGTCATGGGGAGAGGAGAGGCTGATGTAAGGCCTGGAGAGATCCTTCCCTCTTCCCCACTTGGCTCACTCTGTCACCCCAGCCTTCCAGGAGCTCCCCTGGGCGGCCATCACTGGTGTAGGGCCCCTGCCCCTCACCCTCATAATGGGAGCCAAGGGTGAGGGCCCGTGGTACAGACCTAGCCCAGGAAGGTTCCTGTAAGTAGGAGGGGGGTGGGGAAAGATGGCTGCCGCCCACAGTCCTTTGGCCTCCTTTGGGGATGGCCAGGGCCCTGACAGTTCCCGGAAAAGTGGCTCATGCCGGCTGGGACTGGGGTTTACTCCATCCAGAATGCAATTTGGATCCTGTCCAGAGAGGCCCACCCTTCGTCCTCAAAGCTCAGCTATGGCAAAGCCAGGCTCCTCTCCTGCCTCCATTCTAGGCTGGGGCTCAACCCAGCAGCCGCTAGAGACCCTCGCATGAGAGACTTTTTCATTTAAAAAATTAATCACCTTGGTTGAGAATTTTTAGATAAAACTAAAAAAAATGATTACTGATTTACATATTTCAACTGAGCTCCCCTTCCCTGGACCTTGGTTTCCTGCTCTTAGTCCTGAGCAAAGGGGAAAGGAGCAAAGGAGCTCTGCGAGGAAGTAAAAAGCTGTGGGAAGTGCTAGCCTACATTCCAAGTATGAGGTGGGCAGGGAGGGGGTGCTCTCCACGTGTACTGTCCGTGTCAATGCCCCCTAACAGGGAGGCCTCTGTGCGGTGGGTGGGGCCGACGGCTGGCTTCTCTATGGTGGTGCCGGGCTAACAGAAGCGTGAAGGTGAAGGTGAAGTGAGGGGAGCACCTGGCAGGCCCCTGAGCCAGCATCTCCCAGTTTTCAGAGGGGGTGGGGGAAGAAACAGAGAGCGGGAGCAGGCTCCCTAAAAGAAACGTGCAGTGGGATCAAAGACCCCGGGAGAGCCTGAGGCTGACCAGCTTGTCCAAAGCTGCTGCCCTCAGGCTGTTTTCCCCCTGCCCCGGAGAGAGCGGAGGGAAGCTGGGCTTCAGCTAGCCCTGGGCCTGATGGCTGTGCCACCCAAAACAGCCAGCTGGGGGGGGAGGGGGCGGTGGTTAGTGGCCTCCAGTTAGCTCTCGGGGCAACCCTCCAGCTCTAGGAAGAACCAAGGCTCCTTCATACCTCTCCTGAAGGGGCAGGGAAAGGAGGAAGTGTGGCTCCCTAGGGCCCAGCGGAGCCTGGGCCGGTCCACGGCAGCTCAAGGACCTCTGGATGGAATCATAAAGTCCCGGGATGCAAGAGAATCACACTCCTTCGTAGCCAGGACTCCCCCTCCCCCCTAGAGTGGCCTTTTGCAACCCAAGAGCCCCCACACATCATCAATCCTGTGTCACGTTAAAGGACACCGGATATATGGGAGGGAGCCTGGCCTTGCTTCAAAGGCCTGAGGGCAGGATGGATTATGTCCTTAGGCCTGCTGCTGTCTCTTTATAAGTCAGAAGGGAGGGTGGGCTCAACTTCCAATGGTCCAGAGCACAAGCGGGAAAGACAGGAAGAGGTTAATATGTCCTGCTCCCCCAGGTTGCTGGCAGATGGCCCAGCTAGCCATGTGGGAGGTTCAGGTGGAGATGGGCATGGGGCCAGGGTGCTGGCGAGGTGTCAGTGAAGACCCAGCTCTGGCCCTGCACCCCCAGTCCAGCCATCCGAAGCTGGACTTCCTGGCCCCCCACCCTCCGTGCCTGCATTTTGTTGGGGATCAGCCTTGGAGGTTGGCTGCGGAGGCGCTGTCTTGCCCTGCTTCAGCCATCTTGGGTCCCCTAGAGAGAGCAGTTACAGTAGTAGCTGGACAGACCGAAGAGGGGAGGGGCCGTTGACAGGGCGAACAAGAAGACAAGACCAGAATCAATTTCATAGACCTGGATCTACTCTTGAGCAGGGGCTATTGCAGATCTGGGAGGACATGAGTGTGGTCTTGTTGGGGCCGGGCCGGGGGGACAGGGAGCTCACGGCAGGACGGCTGTTTGAGGGTGAGATGGGAATCTGCTCCTACACCAGAGGGGGCCCCCTGCTTTGGCTGGAAGGCAGACTGACTGATGCCAGGGTCTGGGGGCGTTCCTCCACTCTACAAAAGCCCAGGACCTCCCAGCCCGCTCCGGGGCAGCTGTGCAGATTAACCGCACGACCCTAGGGAGCGCTATGGAGGTTGAAGTTCTGCAGTGCGAGACGGGCACAGCTCTGTGCGGTGGCTCTACCCCAAAGAGCCCTCCCCTTTCTAAGGCCTCATTTTGCCCTTTAATAACCCCGTGCTGGGATACTGAAAAGTTTGTAGAAGTGCTCTGACATTCCCATAGCAACCCAGTATGATGTCATAAACCGGGGATTAGCACATTCTAATGCCCAACCGGCAGACCTTCTTACCCTTCGTGCCCCTGTGCCAAGTGCCCAGCCGGGAAGGGAAGAGGAGAGAGTCTGAGGCCAGCAGGGGAGACGCACAGAAGTGTGCACAGGATCCACCCAGCAGTGCTGGGACTGAAGGGGGTGGGTGCTCACGCGGGGAGGGATGGAACAGACAGCCAAGGGAGCACTCTAGCTTTCCTGGGCTGTGGGACGAGCTCCAGCCAGTGAGAGCTGAGGGCCTGCAGAATGCTCTGGGTGGCGATACCTGGCTTTGCTTACCGGTTGAGTTGGGGTTTGCTCTTCGGAACAAATCCTTCAGGAAGCTGAGGCCTGTGATTTGGGAAGAGACCTGAGTAGAGACAAGAGCACGTATGGGATGGTCTTGCAGCTCCCTCTGCAGCTCTCAGGGGTAGATGGAAAGCCCAAGGGGAGTGGGAGGCTGGCACTGGGGGGGTGAGTACAGCGAAGACTCTGGATGTTCCTATCTCTTTCAGGAGGGGCTGGACCAGGGGGCAGCCGGCAAGGGGTGGGATGGGGGGATGGCGCCTGTAGCCCTCTGCCCTCCTCTTCACCCCGAGAGGGCCTTCTACCTGCTCGGTGGGCCATCTTCACGCACTCCTCAATCTTACGGTGTTCTTCCTGGCACAGGCCTGTGATCCTTCGAGGCAGCATGCCTCCACAAGGCCGGAGGAACTGACTGAGCAGCAGAACATCCTAGGGGAAACGGAAAACTGCAGTCAGTCAGCCGGTGGGCGTCTGAAACGGGGCACCAGGGCCTCGTGGCTTACAGGGGAGGCCGTCCTACCCCAGCACCCCAAGGGGTTGATGTCTCCCTCGGGAACCAACCAGGGACCACACCCTCTACACAGAGCTTTTGCACACTGGTCTATTTTTGCCCTAACAAAACCTAAATCCCAAGTTGGTAAGATTTTCCAACCCCAAGGGCTCCCAGCATCTCCATGAGAATCTTTGAGAGATTACAGAACAGAAACTCTTCAAAAAGCCTTCATCTTTAGAGCACGGGCAGCATCTCTCCTGGTAATGAAAGGCCTGTTATTCCCCTTGGGCGAGGTAGGGGGCGTGTCATAGATTTCCACACAAGGGGGAAAAACCACTACGGTTTCTACCCCTATAGCCTACAGGCCAGAATCCACACAGACAGCCCCTCCACTTCTGCAGTTCCCCTGCAAGTGCAGGCAGTGTACGAGCTGGGGAGGAGAGGATCGGGGTGGTGAAGTTAAGAGCCACATCTTCTAAGCCCCCGTGGCCAGATGTGAATGGATTCTCCGGCTTCCTCTGGACCATTAGACTGCTTTGGACGAGTCGAGGGCACAAGGATAAACACAGCCAAAATCAAGCCAAGAGACCACTTCCCCTTCCAGCTTTCATAGGGTGGCTGAGGGGGTTAAACAAAAGCCACGGCTTCCCCAAGGAGAGGGGGGCCCCGCCCACCTTCGCAGTCCTGTCCCACAAACTGATCTGCTGCCCTGGCAGGCGCCTCGCTGTATAACCGCAGATTTGTTTTAATCACTGGACAGCTCCTGAGGGACCCGGGCCCCCAATTCCCACCCCTGTAATCTTTAGAATCTGGTGAAAAGAACTTGGATTGGATTATCTAGTACTAATAAACTGGGCCCGCAGCCCCAGCCCCCCACCGTAGGCTGCCAAGCAAGCTGACAGCTTTGTGCAGCTCAGGCTAACGGTGTCCTGAGTGGAAAGGGGTAAAAGGAAAACAACTGTAGCCTTTACCTCGGGGGGGATTGGATTTCGTCTGTTGGATAAACACAGCCAAGTCCATTTCCTGGAAATGGCTGGTAGAAGGAGTGCCCCATGGTGGTTAGGCAGGTGTGGACTTCACTTCCCCATCTTCAGCTGGGATTCTAAGTGGGGCCACGACCCCACCTAACTTCTATGTCACAAGAAGCTGTGAACACTGTCCTGTGGCCTATAGGTTTCCTATTAGTCCGGGCAGCCATGAGCAGATGGGCTGGGAGCAGAGTGAAAGGAGCACCCTCCTCCCCGCCCGGTGGCCCGGAGCCAAGGCTCCCAGCCCAGGAGATTAGTTGGGTCATTCTGTTCGGATCCCATGGGCATGTGGCCGCTCCTGCTCCCACCACCTGACCGGGACCTCTGCCTTTAGTCATCCCATTCCACAGAGCGGTACAGGGACAACTTGCAGGTCAAACTGGCCCAGAGCCTAATCACCTGAAACCTAAAAATAGGGTGCTTAATGTCACCAATAGAACCCTCAAGGACAAGTATGGATTTCTCTAGGTCTGCGTCCTTCCCCCAAGCCCGCCCTGTTTCTAGCGAGGATGGAGAGCAGTCGTCAGGATAGTAGGCTCTGCCTGGGTTTTGTATCCCTGGAGTTTATAGCCTGGCTCTGATATTAGCTGGGTGATCTGAGGCAAGTTCATCAACTTTTCATGCCTTGAAGTTCCTCGTCTGGAAATCAAGGATGAAAACAGTACCTACTTCATAGGGATATTGTGAAAACCAAGTGAATGAGGGCCTGTAAATGCGTACCACAGTGCCTGACACAGAGCCTGCACTGTGGGGGTTCCCATTCTTAGTCACCATCAGCATCTTTCCGTGGAGAGAACAGAGAGAACAGGAGCTGGAGCAAACAGGAGTCTCTGTAGCTTCAGTATGGAGGGAGACAGTAATGTGTCCTCAGGTCACAGTGAGGACTCTCCAAATATACCCTCCTTATAAAAGGAGGAAAGCCAAATCCAGAGCCTGATTCCATCCGTTGGGAACACACCCTGCAAGACGGGGTTACAGGGCCCTGGTGGTCTGAACTGCATGCAACCAGCGCCATGATCTGGATTAGTGACTCTCAACCCTGGCGGCACTGTCGAATCACCTGGGGAGCTTTACAAATGAATGATGGCCAGGCTCCATCCAGACCAAGAGCAGTCAGTGTCTGCGGGTGGGGCCCGAGGAGGATTTTAAAGCTCCCTGGGGCAGCCGGGGTTGAGATGCAGCAGTGGCTGGGGGGTGGGGAAGCCGCTGAAGTGAACCAGGGACTGGAACCTCCACGACATGCAGAGCCGGCGTCTGCGCGCAGCTCAGCTCACCTCATAGCCATACTTGTGCTTCAGGTTCCACCGGCAGATGGGGCACTGGCCAGAGGGGTTAGGGGGGTTTGGGCTTTCCTTGGGAGTCCCCGTTAACCGGCCTTCGATCTAGGAGGAAGAGAAAGACAGCCAGTGAGGGAGAGGGCATGTGGAGCCTCAGATCCTTGAGCAGCCCCCCAAATGGTGAGATGCCGGGGAGAGTTCATCTGTGGGGGCCTCTGTAGGAGTGGCTAATAGGTCTCTCTGCCTCCCCTGCGGCAGTGGTTCTGCAGCCATTGCATACTGGACCTCGGGGTGGCCACAGAGCCGTGACCTGGTGGCATGCAAGCGTCGTGGCAATTAGACCATGCTGGGGGCAAGAGGCAGTGGTTTGTTCTATCAGCTGAATGCTACCTTTCCTTTCTCAAAAACAAAACAAAACACCAGAACATTATCCTTCCCGCTCTGGAAAAAAGTAATACCTGCACAAGGTAGAAAGTTTCCAACGGTGCAGGGATACACAGTGAAAAGTCTCCCTCCCATCCCACATACCATGTCCTTCTCAGAGGAAACTGCCCTTTCCAGCTTCACGTGACAGAGGCCAGTCTATAGCAGTGGTTCCCAACCAGGCAGGATTTTGCCACCTCCCACCTCCCCCCGGCAGACACTGGACGATGTCGGAGACATTTCTGACTGTCACGGCTGGGGGATGGGGTGCGCCGGGCATCCAGCAGGGAAGCTGCTAACCATGCTACCCCCCACAACAAAGCCCTAGCCAGCCCCAAAGGCCAGCAGCTTCGAGGCTGAGAGAGCCCACTCTACGCCCTTCCAAGCAGGTACCATGTGCATGCCTGCTTCCTTGCTCGCTTTTAGAAACACACATGGGAAGATATATCTGCCTGCCCTCCTCACTTTTATCATTTTGGATGCCACCTTTCAAATCCTGCTGAGGCCACGTGTGCAATGACCTCCGCCATTGCTCTGTATCCTGTGACACAGCCTTGGAATTACCAAGTGCAAGAAGCCAATGATCTGGGAGGCGGCTCTGATTACAAGAGGGGGAGTTTAGAAAGCCTTGCTGATTGAGGCCAGGGATTATGAGAGGGAAGTTGGGACAGGTCTGAGGCTTTGGAGGGAAGTAATACTGTCTCCTGGGGGAGAAACTGGCAAAAGGGAAAGGGGGCTGTGCAGGGTCCTGCTACTTGACTTTCTGCCAAGGCCACCGTAGCCATGCCAGAAACGGAGAAGTGCACTAGGGAAAATGTGGAGGTGCACGCTGGGTCTTGGGAGGGGATTACGGTGGGCCTGGCGGGGGACAGGGCTAACATTTATTGACTCCCCATTGCATGCCTGGCTCTGTGCTAATAACGGTTCAAACGTATCACCTCATTTCACCCCCAAGACCTCGTGAAGGAGGATTCATGATCTTATGTTATAGATGAAGAAAGTGAGACCCCAAAGAGTGAGCAATGCCCGGTTAGCTGCAGCGATAGCTCTCCCTGGAGGCACAGATGGCCTTCCCTCCCCCAGTGGGTCTCACGGTGCCACGATGTCTCCATGTTCATTTTGCAAATAGCAGACTGACGCCTCACATGAGAAACACTCCATACTCAAAAGGCAGATATATTTTTCTCCACCAGCATGGAGTTCCTAGGGTGAATGCTTGTTTTGGCTTTGAATAAGGGAACCAAAGGAGGTGCCCAAAGGGGATGGGGGCCCCCTAAAAAGAACCGTTTTGAGGCTAAGCAGTGAAAAGGCTGAGGAGTATTCTGGGGAAGACTCAAAGAGGGAACCCTAAGGGCTCGTCCTGGGGTTAAGACTGCTTTGGGGGGAGGACCGAGCTTGGCTGGCTGCCAGAAGGGTTAAATCCCTGGTTGACATGGAAGTTACGGAGGCTTCTGGGAGCTCCGTGGAGTGGCTGAGATTTCCTGGAAGCATGGAAGGCCATGTGAAAACAACGTTGTCTTTCAGGGATTATAGGATAATCTAGGCCCCATGACTCCCCGAGGAAGGGAGGTGAGATGGGCCCAACAAGGGAAAGGGGGGAGTAGGTGGATGAAGAATCATTCTAGTTTTTAACCAACAGACAAGCCAGGGTGCCGGCCAGTGAGCCCAGGGCCCAGAGAGTGTCACCTTTTAATGGCATCACTTAAGAAGTAGTTTGGTCCAGGCTCCCGGCCATGGGTCAACTTACTTGGGCTCTCTACTCTCACCACTGCCTTGGTTTCTCCTTTGGAAAACTGATTTATCCCCACCAAAGACCTCTGAGACCTTCCTTATCATACAAAAGGCCACTTTAATCAAACAACGGATGCCTCAGTCCAGGCGCGATGACTGTTCCTGATTCAACCACATGACAGCACACAGCTTGAAAAACGTTAGACTGTGGGATTTATGGTGACAGAGGGAGCTGCTCCTGATGCCAGGAGTCCAGTTTGGGTTGGCCTTCCTCCTCCCCCCTCTCTGCCCCCCGGCAGCTCCAAGAGTTACAGAGGTTGTAAGTGGCCAATTTGATGATACTTACTGTAGTCGTCTTCCCTTCTTGGATCTCCACCACTACAGAGATAAAGGGGAAAAATCAGGTCAGCCATTTAATAAGGAACAGGGAGTTTCAAATAACAGCTCAAATTCTACACATGCAGAAAATCGGAGCCTTCAGTCTGCACTCTCCCACGGTCCCCACCTGGGAAAGAAAGCGTGCGGGGTTCCTCTCCAAGTGCCAAGGCTCTATGCCCTCGAGGCTGGGTGGGGGCAAGCCTAGATGCCCAAGTAATACCATCTCTCTGGGATTAAGGGTCTCTACACTGTTTTTGTCTTTCTAAGCCAAGATTCATCTTGGTTCTAAACCAAGGGAATTGGCAAGATCCTGCCCTCCCGTGGCTAGCAATAATGACCTCAGAGTTAGGCTGGGTGGGAGTGGAAGCATCTAAAAGACCTTCAAAAGTACCCATTGCGTGTGTCCTTTCATGACGAGAATCACACAAACATGGCTTCTGACCCTGAAGAATGTGCAGTCTCTGATACAGGCTTGAACTAAGGCTGCTCCAGTGGCCCCAGGGCAGATAAGGAGTGAGAGCAGCTCACCCACAGAACCTGGCTCTCGGGGAGCCGTGCTAGAGCTCTAAGAGGCAGCTGTGTGAGTTAAATCTTCTGCCCTTCTGCACGCGGCTCGTGCAGGGTGCACTGTGCTACGCATGTACGCGGGAGCAGGTGGGGGCAGGGGTGGGGGAGAGGGGCCTGCAGACGCCGCCCGGGCTGAGTTCTCAGGAGAGCGCTGCAAGTGCAAACGGAGGGGGGCTCCCTCAGCGCTCTGCCCGGAGGAGAACTCAAGGGCAGGGCGGTAAGTCGCACACATCCCTCAGGCTGTATGTGTTTCCTCGCTTATTTCACCAGGATACAGAATGACAACTTGAAGAATATTCCAAGGAAGAACCAAGCCAATGGCGCACGTTTGGCCAATATAATCAAACCAAGTTCTTGGAGCTTCCTTCCCCCTTCTTCTCCAGGGTCTTTAGAAAGAGAGGAGCCACTGCGGTTAGCGTGGGAACCAGCACGCAGCAGATGCTCAGTCAATGCGAGCTAGCACCAAGACCGTGAAACGGTCAGCACGGCCCCTTCTGACTGCTAATCACTGCTACACAAAACCTTGGTCTGCAGAGCTAGACTGCAAACTGTCTCCTTACGTACAAACACCGTATCGAAACAGCAGCCGGGCTCCCACAAGTAGTTTTACTCAGCTTCAGCGAGGCAAGAAGTAGTGCAGCTTAGAAAGAGCCTAAGGTTCCGGGGGGCCTGGGTGGCTCAGTTGGTGGAGCGTCGGACTCTTGGTTTTGGCTCAGGTCATGATCTCGGGGTCGTGAGATCGAGCCCTGCGTCTGGCTCTGTGCTCGGCGGGGAATCTGCTTGAGATTCTCTCTCTCCCTCTGCCCCTCCCCCTATGCTCTCTCTCTCTAAAAATAAATAAACAAATCTTAAAAAAAGAAAGAGCCTAAGATTCTTAATGTTAAGAATCTAGTGAAAGTTATGGACCTTTTCCTGGAAATATATTCATAAGCACACATACAATCAAACATGTGTACCTAAATGGTAATGCTGGTTTTCTCTTGGTGGTGGCAGTACGTGATTTTTACTTTGTTCTTTATGCCTGCCTGGATTTTCTGAAGTTTTTAAAATAAACATGTACTGCTTCTGCAATAAAAAATAAACAGTAAAAAGAGAGAAAGAGAATGAATGTCTAAGAAAAAAGTGAGGCAACTCTAACCCAACCGGAGGCCCTTGGCAGCATCTGTGATCACTGAGCTCTGTGACCAACACCTAATTGGACACAGACTGCCTGGAATTGTCCCCCATTTGTTTTCTGCGCAAGGCCATTCATAAAGCCTCATTACTCCAAAACAACCAACCTGAGAGCCCCTCAGTGTTCCAACTCCAGATACACACAAAGAAGCCACGATGGCCAGAAAGGCCCTGAGGCTTTCTCCAGAACACTGTAGTTAACTAATCAATTCAAAGACAAACTAGTTTTCTCCCTGTAAGAAAATGCGTCACCCCACACACGGATCTACTTGTTCGGAACGCAGACCAGCCTAAACGGGATGTGGGTGAGACTCAGCCTGGTGCTCAGTTGGGAGGCCTGCACAGCTGCGGGGGGACAGTCACTGGAATATGTCAACCTACAGACGTGCGGGAGCAGAAGCAGGGCAGAGCCCCAGCTCAGCGGGGCTTCCAGGCACCCCGGAAAATTTGCAAAAAACCAACCTGGGAGAGGGATGGAAGGCAACCAAATCTAGGCGGCAACAGGTGAGGGGGAAGTTTCTAAGAATTCGGGGAGGAAACAAAAGGAGAGACACATTCCTGGTACCACTTGAGCCAGCAGGAGAAGAGGGCCTGAAACAAAAAGCGGATAAACATGTGGTTCCCCTCTCTGTGGAGGCACTTGGGTCCTAACCATGAGGTAAACAAATCTAACAAAACACACATCACTCCCGGCAAAGAACCAAACCCTGAAGTCATTCCATTGGCCCCTGGAAAAGAGATCAAAGCTTATGGCCACCTCCACTGTTTGCCAGCTCCCCACACGGCAACCCTGAGCCAGTGAATCATCTTACTATATGCCAGGGGGTAAGACAATAGGCAGATGCTTATCTACTACAGACAATTTGTCAAACCAGAAAGAATGACCTGAGAACTCTTACAAGATTGAGAGTGATCAGGGCGGTGTCTCAGTGCAGGCCTGGGCAGGAGGCCTGGGTGGAACCTCAAGAAGCCCCTAGATTTTAAGCCTCTGAAAACAGGAGATAGGAATCAAAATAGTTTTGCTTTCCAGTGTGCATACAAAAACAGGTCAAAACCAAACCAAACCAAACCTGAGATCCATTTTGTCCCTGGCCTCCTCACCACTCAAGATGGGGGTAACCATGAAAAACTGGACTAAGACATTTAGGTACTGACAGACAACTTGTTTAGAAAAAGGTGGAATCACCCTTGTGTTCTGAAATATGGCTATTATGATGTAAACTAAGGAAAAACACGAAACTGGAGTTTCTAAACTGGAGTTAGGGGCCAAATCTTCTAAGACTGGCACTTCTCTCATACACATCAAATAACCCGTCCCACATGAGACAACACATTTGCTGAGCCCCCAGGGAGTACAGCCCGGCCCCACCCACTGGGAGGGCTACAACAGAATAGGAAGACAGTCTTTACCCTAGAGGAGAAAAGGGAACGAAACCAAGTATGGGAACTTCAGTACAATAAAAGTCTACGCCTCGTAAAGAGGTCCTTTGAGTACTTCAATAAATACTCGCTTAGGATGGAGTCCAAGATAACTGAATTGTAACAGTCTAGAGCAAACAGTGCTGGGCTGAGATTGTAGTGAGCGCAGAAGGACCTCGAGGGCCACACAAACACACACACAGTGAAATGCAGCAGTACCAAGACCCAACTGTTTCGAGAAGGAGAAAGGCAGGACTCATGAATGATGTGGAGGGCGCTGCTATAGGAAGTGCCCAGAAACCAAGTCCTTCTTGGAAAGGATCCATGGAAACCAAGTACCAAGCAGAGAATGACAGAACAGAGTCACTGACGGCTAAAAGGCACCACTCACAAGTCTTGGCGGAGGACCAGAGAGTGGAGTGTGTGTTTGGGACATGTGGCTGCACTTCCGGCCGTTGACTACTTTTCTCAAACTCCTTCCCCACTTCCCTCTGTTCATCTTTAATTCTACTACTCAAGTTTTCTGATTCTCCAGTCATCTAACCCGTTCTTTCCCCTGGACCTCTGAGGGAATGTCCCTCTGCACTAGGCTTTTTCCACTAGCAGGTTCCTCTGGACTATGTCCCTTGAAGTCTTTGAAGTCCCCAACTCACACACTCCCCTCTCAAAGCTTTTAGCTACAGGGCTGCCCATCCTGCCAGGTGCGTCCTTGTCTGAAATGCTAGGTCCTCCAGAAAGCCCCTCAGCCAACTGGAAGAGATGAAGAAAATTCCCTTCAGCCTTTACTCATTTCAACACGCTCTGCACTAGTTTCCGATAGATGTGCCCTGTTAATTCAGAGTCACATGTGTTTTTGTTTTAAATACATTTCCTTCCCAAGAGTGAGAAGGCAGGAATGAGCTCTAACACAATCTTTCCCATAAAAAGCACTACACCGTCTTCAGCAAGTTAAATGATGAAAGCTTTCAGGTGGGAGAACCACAGGGCAGCTCTCCCATGGCGTACCATGGCAGTCTTGGTGGTGGAGAGGGAGGAGTGCTGGTTCTACTTCCAATGCCACCACTTACTAGCTGGGTGATCCGGGGCAGCTACTGAACTCCTCTGGGCCAGATTTCTTCAGTAATTTGTCAGTAATATCTGCCTTTAAAGACTGTTGAGAAGACGGAATACATGTATGTGGAAAACCTAGCACAGTGCTTGCAGCAGGCACAGACTAAACCCCAATTTCCATTTTTGTCTTCCTTCACTTTTGTTCCTTCCACTATCCTTCTTGCTTTTGTGTGTCCCTCTTATCAAACTTTCAACCAGGCTTTCTCAATAGCAGCACAACTGACGTTTCAGGCCAGGTGGTCCTTTGTTTGGGGGCGGGGGGGGACGTCCTGGGCACTGTAAGATGTTGAGCAGCATCCCTGGCCTCTACCCACCAGATGCCAGGAGTACCAGTTGTGACAACCAAAAATGCTTCTAGACATTGCCAGATGTTCCCGGGGGACAAAACTGCCCCCCAACTGAGAACCATTGCTTTAGCCTGAGAGTCTCTACAGGCAAGAGCATGGAATGCTGGGTGCTCATAAACTCTGACTAAAATTAAGTAATGCTATTTGATACTCTTGAATATTTTCAGCAAACATCCAGTTTCCTGCCCACAACTTTAAATTCTGTGTGTACAATATTGTTTGGGTGTCAAATATACCAGCCGGGACCGGGCAGTCAAAATTAACTACATATTTAATATTTTACACCTTACACATAGAAGGTAGTATATCAAGACAAAGTTTTTTCATTTAAAGGCTTTGAAGACAGGTGGTTCTCAAGCAGAATAAAGAACACAGTACTGCCTTCATGTAAGATCACATCAATTCAATTATTTAGCTTTTAGGTCTGACAGCAAGTAACAGAAGAGTTACCAACCCAGGTATTTATGGAAAGAAGTTCAAAGACCCATCTGACCATACAGTCCATCATTTCACAAAATCTCCAACTGAAAAAATTCCAATCTCAAATGTTCTTTTGTAAACAAACAAACAAACAAACAAAAACTATTCCTCTTCCCCATTCTCTGGGAACATAGCAAAGAACTGTTTTCAACTCTGAATTTCACAATGGATATGTAAATTACAGCTATTAGAGCTTGACACTTCGGAGACACCCTCAAAAATGTTAAGGGTATATGCTTACTTTGCAGCAGGGTATAGATGAAACATCTTACCATGTCCTTCCTATCATCAGCATGATCTCTTTGGTACCTTTCTTTATTAATGGATTAGCTTATCTAATATTAACCAGGCAGTATCTGGATTTTGTCGTTCTTTCTACATATGTTCCATCTTCCCTTCATAGCTAAATTCTTCTAATATACCTATTTTCATTTCTTCATGAAATATCTCTTTGATTTCCCCAAACTGGGATCCAGCCCTCCCTTCCCCTGAATCTGCCAGATGGAGGTCGAGTCCAGCTGGTTGGGCTGTGCCTGGGCCTACAAGGAGCCCTGTCTGCCACTGCTGTTTGAAAGCCAAAACAGCTTTCTTTCTGAGACACATCCAATGGACTCCTCTTTAGGTTCCTCTCTTTGGACTTTTCTGCTCCCTCTGACAACAATGATCACTCTTTTCCTCTCGGCACCTCTCAACTTTAAAGGATACGCTGGCCAATACCATGGCAGAATCTTAAAAACAAACAAACCCACATCACTTCTTTTGCACATCATTCATCCATTCTGGCTTCCAGCAGTGCACAAAGGAAGGCTGCGTCCTGACAGACCTTTTCACTCTTTGCGAGGATGAGATTCCATCCTTTTAAAAGCCCGTTCAGGGGCGCCTGGGTGGCTCAGTCGTTAAGCGTCTGCCTTCGGCTCAGGTCATGATCCCAGGATCCTGGGATCGAGCCCCGCATCGGGCTCCCCGCTCAGCGGGAAGCCTGCTTCTCCCTCTCCCACTACCACCTGCTTGTATTCCCTCTCTCGCTGTCTCTCTCTCTGTCAAATAAATAAAATCTTTAAAAAAAAAAAAAAAAGCCCGTTCAAGACACATTCCCCTCATTAAAACTTCCAATTGGGTTTCTGTTTCTGGTAACCAAATCTCCCTGTAGTTAATCATGTAAATACCTAACTTGCATTTATTGGACAGTATACATATCATCTCTTTAGAACCCAACTTCTCAGGAAAAGGGCTGAATTTTCTCTTTTTCCAGAATCCTTTGACAGTCTGAAGTACAGTATCTGGCCTTCAGTAAGCTCCCAGTTCAAGGCTATAATCAGGCTGCCTTTCAAGGCTTAAGATTAATGAAAAGGAGAACCACCATACAGCATTTGTCTGTTTCAGCTGTTCGATGGCTTTTCCACCTTAGCTTCCACCTCTCTGGGAGACTAGGGGCCGGGGCAGAAAAAGACGCCATCAGAGCACAGCATTTTCAGATGAGAAACTGGAAAGGGAGGCCCTGAGAAGGATAGCCACATGTCCTTCTCTCATGGTCCAGGGATTTTTTTTTTTTTTTAACAAAGGAGGCGGCGGCTGAGAGAATACGGAAAGCAAAACTAACACGCTAACCTTTACCAAAAACTTTTCTGAATCCCGGGCCAGGTTTCGTCCTGCTCCTGCTAACTAAGCAGGGCTTTCTTTCCGTCCTTCCCCGCCCCCACCAGTAAGAACACTCGCGAGCGGTGGGAGGTCAAGACAATAGCATCAAGGTCTGGAAAGGGCTTTCAAGCACCCCGGGAGCGCCAGCATCTCCCGGGTTTCAGAACCGCGCGAAGGAAAGGGAGGGAGGGGAGCACACGGGGGCTGGAGAAAGCAAACTCCACTGATCTTTTCCTCAACCTTGGGAGATAACCGGGACCCAGGACTAACCTTCCCTGAACCCGCGAGCTGGAAGCCGAGCCCAGCTGGTCGCGATCGGGCCAGCCAGGAGCCCTCGGAGCAGCCGTCCAGAGGGATACACCAGCACATTGAGGGCCGCCATCTTGAAAACCAACGGTGACCTCTTGTGCACTTCCGCTTCCGGAACGGCGCGCGCGCAGCCGCAGTGGTGAGCAGGAAGTGTGCGGCTGTGGGCTTCTGGCTCGGATACTCTCGCGCTTCGTTTTCCCTAGTCTGTCCCACGGAGGGGTAAGCCTAGAGATTTGTGTTTAGCCTGTGCTTCGTTCTGAGAGTCTAGGGCAGGTGTTCTGGCTCCCGTCTGCGGGTCCTCGAAGTGTCAGGTCGCTTTCGTACCCTCACAGGCTTCCTTTGTAAAATCACATACACCACCCCTATTTACTTAAAAGCTTTTTCTTCAGGTCACATGTGGATTTTCTGCCTCTTATGGCTAAGACTAGACCTGTACAGTAGAGTTTGAGATTGTTAGGACTCTAGTTCTGGAACGTCAGGTATCAGGCAGACCTGGGATAGAATTAATTCCTAACTTCTCCACCAATCTGTGTCCTCCCCACCCCCCCCAAACACACTTGTCTTTCATTCTCCTATACCTAACACTTACCTTTGGCCCCAGGGCCTTTGCATAGCTATTTCCTCTACATGCTCTTTGGCCACCTGCTAAACTCCTTATTTCTCAGAGCTCAGCTCAAAATTCACTTCCACATTAGAGTCTTCCTTAACCTCCCTGTTACTGGCTCTCAGCACCAGATAACTCTCCATTTTAGTACTTGGCATAATGGGGTTTTACCTCTATTTGTATAATACGTGTCTCTTCACCAGACTGTAAACTCCATGAAGGCAGAAATACTGTTTTTTTGTTGACTTATATCTTCAGCAGTGCTGAAACACAATAAGTGCAATGAATGAGTAGAATCTATCTCATAGGGTTGTGAAGATTAGATAAGACCTAAGTGCTCAATAAACAAAAGCTAATTAATAAGGCAATTACTGAGATGGCTCTCGTGCTAGGTACTTTTCATAAGTTTGATGTACTTTCATAATGAGAAGCTTGTAGTGCTATAAAGAAAACACAACTGCCCAGTTTTCCCTCTTTTGGATTTGCAGGATATATAGGATGCTCCCCTAGAGCTACATAAGAAATATACACAGCTCAATTCTTCCACTTGGTGAATAGGATATTCTTTTCCACCCTCCAAAATAAACCTGAAAGGGGATTTTCTAGTTATCCTACCCTGACTCATAGATGGAAAAATCAGGCTCATTAAATGGCAGAGTATTGGGCGCCTGGGTGGCTCAGTTGGTTAAGCGACTGCCTTCGGCTCAGGTCATGATCCTGGAGTCCCAGGATCGAGTCCCGCATCGGGCTCCCTGCTCAGCAGAGAGCCTGCTTCTCCCTCTAACCCTCCTCCCTCTCATGCTCTCTGTCTCTCATTCTCTCTCTCGCAAATAAATAAAATCTTAAAAAAAAATAAAAATAAATGGCAGAGTATTAAATGTTTCCTGATAAAGGGGAGGGAAGGAGCCCATCTTCCAGTTGGGACTGTCACCCTGGTGGACTAAGGAGATGCAGAACAGCTGCTCTATGGGGCGCTTGAGTGATAATTGCCATAGACAAGGAAAACAGTAGAAATATGGCATCGGGTTACCATAAAACATCACATTCATCAAAGGCAGATCCTGGAGAGAAAGATCAGTATGGGTGAATGAGACAGACACATGAATTAGGAGTCGTGGAGAGGGTTTTGGTGGGGTATTTTTCAAGATGTCCTGGCCAGGATCAGGAAAGCCTTGGCTTTTCCTATAGCTTCCACTTTCCTTCTGTATGATGACCTTGAGCCCTTCCTGCTTATACCATATCCCCTGTTTCTTTACAAGTCCCCAGCTTCTGATGATCCAGTAGCAACCAGGGCAGTAAGAGAGCTTCCACCCAGAGCTTATTTTGGACACAATGAGCTAAAGTATTTGAGTGCCAACCCTCTCTTCATTATCTTATCCTGACTTATTATAATCAAATTTTATTTTAAGAAACAACTTATATTTTATACAATGACAAGTAATGTGATTACTGTAGAAAAAATAAAACAGTAAAGTAAAAAGTAAATATATATCATCCATAATCCAGAGTTAAACATTATTTACATTTAGCAAAATGAAATAATACTGAAATAATACTTTGCAATATCTTATTTTTCTGAACCTATTTATTATTAGTCCCTACATGAAAAAAAATTCTTTGAGACCAGATTTTGCTCAGGAGACTAGCTTTAAAAAAATTTTTTTTAGGGGCACCTGGGTGGCTCAGTCAGTTAAGCAGCTGCCTTCAGCTCAGGTCCTGGGATCGAGCCCTGTGTCGGGCTCCCTGCTCAGCAGAGAGCCCACTTCTCCCTCTCCCTCTGCCTGCCGCTCAGCCTACCTGTGCTCTCTCTCTATCTCTCTGTCAAATAAAAACCTTAAAAAAAATAAAAAAAAAATTTTTTAGACAAAGAATAACCTGTATAAGAAAGTACACAAATTATCAGTGTGCAGCTTGATGAATTTTCACAAAGGGAATACACTATCCACACCACCAAGTAGAACATTAATAGCAATTCAGAAGACCCCGTGGTGTCCCCTTCCAGACATTATCCCCTCTTCAAGGGTAATCATTATCCTAATTTTTGGCATCATAATTTACTTTTTCCTGCATTTGAACTTTGTATAAATAGAATCTACATAGCATGTGCTCTTTTGTGTCTGCTTTCATCTACTCATCAACAACATGAGTGGGATTCACCCATATTGTTATGTGTACTTGTTATTTATGCATTCTCATTGCTATATAATGTTCCAGTGTGGTTATACTACAATTTATCCTTTCTCTTGTTAATAGGATTTGGATACTTTCCAGTTGGGACTACTATAAATTGTGCTGCGATGAACACTCTTCTGTATGATTTTTGGTGAACACAAGAACAGACATCCCTCAGGAATATATCTAGCAGTGGAACTGTTGGATTATAGGGTATATATGTACTTAGATACTAGATAGTAGATACTGCCAAACAGTTTATTTGGTACCAGTTGTGTATAAGAGTTCTTGTTGCTCCACAGCTTTATCAATATTTGATATTTTTTGTGCTTTTCATCTTGGCCATCCTGGTGAGTATGTCATAGGACTTCATTGTGTATTTAATTTACATTTCTCTGATGCCTAATGAAGATGAATCATTTGTCATATGTTTATGTTCTTTAGATACTTTCTTTTGTAAAATGTCTGTTCAAGTCTTTGGCCCATTTTATATTGGGTTGCCTTTATTTTTTTTTTCAATGAAGTGATTTTTTTTCAAGATTTTATTTATTTTTTTGTAATGGGGGGGAGGGAGAGGGTGTAAAGCAGGAGGAACAGCAGGAGGAGGGAGGAGCAGACTCCCTGCTGAGCAAGAAGCCCAATGCAGAACTTGATCCCACAACCCTGAGATCATGACCTGAGCCGAAGGCAGATGCTTAACCGACTGAGCCACCCAGGCACCCCTGCCTGTATTTTTCTTATTGATTGTAGAAGTTCTTTATATATTCTGGATACTTGTCCTTTGTTGGATATAAGTACAGCAAATGTCATCTTCCTTGCTGAGTTGCCTTCTGTAATATATTGTTTTGATGAGCAGTATTTTAAATTTTTTAAAAGATTTTATTAATTTACTTGAGAGAGAGAGTGAGTGAGAGCATGAGCAGTGGGGAGGGGCAGAGGGAGAAGCAGACTCCCTGCTGAGCAGGGAGCCCAATGTGGGGCTTGATCCCAGGACCCTGGGATCATGACCTGAGCCGACGGCAGACGCTTAACCGGCTGAGCCACCCAGGCACCCCTTAAATTGTTTAATATAGTGTAATTTATCAGTTTTTTCTTTTGTGGTTGGCATTTTTGGTATTTTAAATAGGCTCCATGCCTAACTTGGGGCTCGAACTCATGACGCAGAGATCAAGAGCACAACTGAGCCAGCAGGTGCCCCTTTGGTTTCTTATTTAAATTTTTTCCTTTTCAAAATCATGAAGATGTTCTATGTTTTTTTTCCAAAAACTGTATTGTTTTACCTTTTAATTAGATCAAAACTCACCTAGAATTGTTTTATTATATGATCTGAGATTGGGATTAAGGTTCATTTTTTATTTTTAGGAATATTTAACTGACCTGGCACCATTTATTAAAAACATCACATATTCCCTCATTGCATTTTATCTGGTTTAGATCTGTTTCTGGAGTTTCTATTTGGTCTCTTTTTCTGTCCCTTAGCATTATTTTAAATGGCTGTATACTATTTCATTGTCTGGAAGTGTCATATCCCCAATTGCTAGGAATTTAAGTTGCTTTTACTTCAAACATATTTTCTAAGACCTATCTCCCTATTCCAAAAATAGTATTTTCTATTTCATCAGTGAGTCTTACATACCCCGTTCCCAGTTGGGTGTGTTGTGGAATTTTTTAAAAAGATTTTATTTATTTATTTGAGAGAGAGAGCGCTCAAGGAGGGGTGGAGGAGGAGGGAGAGGGAGTGAGAGAGAGAATCTCAAGCAGACTCTGCACTGAGCATGGAGCCAGACTCAAGGCTTGATCCCTTGACCCTGAGATCATGACCTGAGCCAAAACTAGGGGTTGGATGCTTAACTGACTGAGCCACCCAGGCGCCCATGGATTTTTTTTTTAATTTTAATTTCAATTTTTAATTTTTTAAAGATTTTATTCATTTATTTGACAGAGAGAGACACAGCGAGAGAGGGAACACAAGCAGGGGGAGTAAAAGAAGGAGAAGCAGACTCCCCACTGAGCAGGGAGCCCGATGCGGGGCTCGATCCCAGGACCCTGGGATCATGACCTGTGCCGAAGGCAGACGCTTAAAGACTGAGCCACCCAGGCGCCCCTGGATTTTTTTTTTTTTTAAAGTAAAACCGTGCTGTGGAATAAGAGGGAGTGAGGGCCCTTCTCTGGGGGCTGCAGAATGATAGCTGCTGTGCAAAGGAAGGGTCTTTTCAAGAGCCAGGGTCTCTGGGGCTGTTGGCAGAGTCACTCTGGTGCCTGGGGCGAGCTGTGTGCATCTACATTAGCAGTTCTGGACCCTGAAGAGCAGCAGTGACCCTGGGATACATGGAGATGAGAGAAGGGAGGCTGCTGAACCAGCCACTCCTTAGCTTGACAAAATTTCCTATCCATCCCTTCTTCTGAGGAGCCCAGCCCCCTTGCTTCCACCCCATCTGCCAGGGAAATCTTCCTTCTTTTGTCCATTACTTGTCCTGGATCCTATATCTTAACTCTGGAGATAGCTCACATCCCCAATAAACTCCTAATGAAGATGTTTGGGGAAACATTCACAAGGGATGAGACCAGAAATGCTCATTTTGCCAAGAGAAACTTAAACTAGCAGCAGAAACAGTCTGGTCTAGAGACTTGCTCCCAGCCACCAGGCCAGCCAGCTGGGGCCAGAGCAAAGACAAGAAACTGGGAAGCCATGGGTGGATCAGCCTGTCTATGGCTTCGGGGCTGAGGAAGTTCTGGTCTCAGCTGTGGACGAAGATGCTCTTCCAGCCTTCCTCCTACCTCGCCCAGGAAGAATGGGTCAGAGCCAAGAGCCACACAGATGTTCCCTGTGAATGACAGAGGCAGTGAAAAGGCGCGGGAAGGTGGAGGGAGCTGATCTGCTAGAGACCAGGGTGGGAGGGGGCTGCAAGAGAAGCCAGGGGAAAAGGCTGACAGAGTGAACGACTGTCATGTTTGCTTTCTCCTAATTAATGTGGTTTCCTTACAAACCCCTGCTGATTCCCAGCTGGTTGACTCAACCATAACAACACGTGGCCTGCCCTGCCCAGGCCAGGAGCCCGGGCTGTGAGCCTCCCAAGAAGGGTCTGGTTTCATCTGCAGCAGCTGCCCCTCCTCCCCAACTGGCTTTGTGCAGTTGAGGGAAGGGACAACACCTCAACGGAGAGCGTGAGAGGTTGCGGGGGACAGCCAGGGACTGCTTGCTTTGGGCTCGCCTGGCTGCTCACCTGTGTTTCCGGTGACCTTTAAAAAAGGGCAGTTTCTTGCTGGTCTGGCAGGGCTGCTGCCTCCAAACAGGTATGAATGGGGGCGGGTGAGGAGACCTTGGGCAAAGAACCCCTTGCTTGGTGGTGGCCTCTCTACAGGCATGCCCTGTTTGACTCAGTGGGCCTAGAAACAACTAGGCTATGTCTAGAGTCCTGGGCAATTCAGGGTTTTCCATCGGTTTTTCAAGAGTTGCTCCTCTTCCTCGCTGGGACTTTTATTCTGTCCAAGTTATTCATCTTATCCCCTCATTGGTTCATGGATTCATTGGGCCAGCAAGTATCCACTGAACAGCTACTGTGTGCCTTTTGCAAACAAATGATTACATGCACCAGGGGAGACTCTCAGGGGTAGAAGCTCTTGTCTGACAAAAAAACATTATGTGAACTGGACGATTGCCCTGGGATCTATTTGCTTCCTCCCCCCTTTTTATTTTTATTTATTTATTTATTTTTAAAGATTTTATTTATTTATTTGAGATAGAGAGAATGAGAGACAGAGAGCATGAGAGGGAGGAGGGTCAGAGGGAGAAGCAGACTCCCCGCCGAGCAGGGAGCCCGATGCGGGACTCGATCCCGGGACTCCAGGATCATGACCTGAGCCGAAGGCAGTCACTTAACCAACTGAGCCACCCAGGCGCCCCCTCCCCCCCTTTTTAAAAAGCATTTTTTATTAGTAAAATAAAATATGTTCAGAAAAATCATATAACTTCAACGTACCATACAAGGGCAAAATGGATTCGTTTCTATGCTGGATCACTAGGGCATGCTGCTGCCAGAACAACAGCTGGAGGGAGGGGGGATATATGAAAGAGAAGTGAAATTGGTGAGAGGTGGCTTTAGGGGCCTTCAAAACCTTTCAGGAAAGTGAGGCCAGAGGAAGGGAGGCCCCAGACAAAACTGCTGAAGGAGAGAGAGGCTGCCATGCCCTTTGTGTGTATTCCCCAGGCACAGGCCAGAATCCTCTCCAAGCGAGTGCACCCTGGTAGGGACCCCCAGAGCTCACCTGGCATTAGCCTCACTCTAGCTTCAGCCAGTGGTTGGGGTCAGTGCCACCCGCTCAACTCCCTGTCCTCGCAAATTAAGTCATCCTGGCTGTGGCTAGACCTTTGTGCAGAGGGCTGGGTGCCCCTTTGTAAAGGGTCTTCACATCCCTGTCAGGTTAAGGAACTCGTCAGATTGCTTTCTCTGGGTGCCTGAATCCAATTCTTACATAAGGGGGGAGATTTTTACCTCTTAGAGCACTTTGGAGCTATTGGCATATTTTTGTGAATAGGGACAAAATGGCACCCTAGGCAGATGTTGTCCCCTGCTTGCACATGAGGGACACATACAAAAGCAAAATGGAAGAGCTGCAGCCTGAAAATGAGGCTCTGCTCTACCCACTGGCCACCTTAAGTCAGTAATGCTCTGTGGGCCTAAGTTTCCCCCTCAGTAAGGAGTCCCATCTGGTTCTAAAATTCTGATTCCATAAAGACACAGAGTGAGAGTGTCTGGTCTTCAGCTTCCTCCTCCCCTTTTTGCTGCCATTCAGAGATCTCACTCATTTTGACCCTTTGGCTCTCAACCTTGACGCTGGTAAGTCCGAAATCCATTGCCCTGCTCCAGCCTGAGCTCCAGCCTGTCTCCAGCTCTCTATAGAGATTTCTATTTGGTTCTTCTGAAGGAGCATAAATGTGCACCATGTCTAAGTGAGGCCACTGCCGCCTTCCTGATAACTATCAGCACTTCTCTCAGTCTCCCTGTGGCTCACAGAGTCACCATCTACTGTCCCCATCCAATCGCCAAAGTTTTCATACATTTTGCACATTTCAAAGTTACCTCCTGATTTCCCCTCTTCCTCACCATCTCCATTTCTGTCATTTTTCCAGTACCTCCGTTTGCCTTGCCCCTTGCCCTGTGCCTCCCTTTCCAATCTACTTGACTGTCCCCGTCTAATTTTCCCAAACACGCCTGGTCTCTTCCCGGCTTGATGGCATCTTGTCGCTTGCAACTGGCTTCTGAATCTGCATTTTTAAAGAAGTCCTGGAATACTAACATCTGAGAATTGCTGACCAAGGGAAGTAAAGTCCCAGCTTCTTACACACAGGGCCTTCCTCGAGGTGGCCCCCCCCTCCGTCTTCCCTCTCTTTTCCCACAGGGACTCTCAAAGCCTCCCCTGTGCCCATTCCCCACCCCTCCAGTCCCCCCCCCTTTTTTTTTTAAAGATTTTATTTATTTGACAGAGAGAGACACAGCGAGAGAGGGAACACAAGCAGGGGGAGTGGGAGAGGGAGAAGCAGGCTTCCCGTGGAGCAGGGAGCCCGATGCGGGGCTCGATCCCAGGACCCTGGGATCATGACCTGAGCCGAAGGCAGACGCTTAACGACTGAGCCACCCAGGCGCCCCCCCCCCCCCCCAGTCCCCTTACTGTCACTATGTTCCTCTTCAGGGGTGCCTTCCCTTCTTTCAAGGCCCGGCCCACTTCTCCCCTCCTTCCTCCCCAGATTTCCTGTATCTGAGCTTTCTGGGTATTCTCTCTTGCCTACCCGCCCCTCCAGTGCTAGGCTGCTCCTACCTCTGGTGACTTGATTCCACGCTATTCCACACGAGCCAGGACTCTCTGGGCTGTAAGTGAGTCATCAAACTTACAGGAGGACATTTGCTACCTTTTTTTTTTTTTTAAGATTTTATTTATTTATTTGATACAGAGAGAGAAAGAGGGAGAGAGCAAGCACAAGCAGGGGGAGTGGCAGAGGGAAGGGGAGAAGCAGGCTCCCCACTGAGCAGGGAGCCCGATGTGGGGCTCGATCCCAGGACCCCGGGATCATGACCTGAGCCGAAGGCAGGCGCTTAACTGCTTAATCAATTGAGCCACCCAAGCGCCCCCATTTGCTACTTCTTATAACCAACCCAGGACAGGCAGGGTTCCGTGGGGCCTCAGGGCAACTGGAGCCAGAAACTCAGAAACATGGGGCCCATCCTCCCCTTCTCTCATGTCTCTATTTCTCTCTGCATTGTGCCATTATTCACTCCTTCTCTCTGTAAGGCTGCTGGTGGTTCCTAGGCTTGGGACAGGGTGGAGATCCTAAGATTGGCAGGCCCCAGGGGAATGCTATGGAGAAGCTGCAGAAAAGGCAAAAGAGGATATGTTTCCCCAAAGAAGGGGGAGTACTGTTTCAAGATTAAGGGAAAATGCTGGACAGAAAAATTAGTCAATGGTCACCCATTTGTCACAGTAACTGTGTTAGTTAGGATTCGGGTCAGCTATGCATGAGGAAAACCCCCAAGAGCAGTGACTTAAATAAGATGCAAAGGACTCTGGAGAGAGAGACCCAGGCTTTGTCTAGCTTGTTGCTCTGCCATCTCGTAAGTTCTAGAAGACTGCTTGAGCGCCAGCCACTCTGCCCATACAGTCTAGGGAGCAGAAAGGAGAAATGAATGAAGAACGGCCCGACTTGCCATCCTTTAAAGATGCCTCCTGGAAGTTGCACGCACTTCAGCTTATATCCCTTGTATTGCCAGAACTTAGTTCTATAGCTATACTCAGCGGTGAGAGCTTCTGAGAGATGCCTTAATTCTGGGCAGCCACACGCACAGCTCAAAATCAGAGGTGTTCTTACACGCTGAGGAAGAAGGGTGGGATGGATCTTAGGCAACTAGCCTGTGCCGTGACCATAATCCCTGAGGTGCTTGAAGAGGGCATTTCCAGCCCATGGGGAACACACTGCTAGGTAAGGTGACCGGCTCCATTTTTGGACAGCCCACATCCACCCATCTGTGACTTATACCTGCCGGGTCTCCCTATGCCCTCTCTTTTCTACACTATAGTATTTACATTTTTAGAAGACAACACTGGCATCCAAGTCAGTTTTGGTCCTATCACCCTTAAATTCTGTTTTTCTCTCATAAGTTCCAGACCCTGGTGTGTGGCTGAGGCTGGTCAGTATCTTCCTTAAAAATGTGGATCCTTCAGTGGGGCTCAGTGCCCCAGATGTTCTGTGATCTGTAGAGGATATAACTGGGCTTTTGGTGCCCCCATGTCAACACCCTACATCTGTCAATGTGCCCAAGATTGAGGGAGAATGTGGTATCTCATGTCTGGTGGGCTAATTGCTGACTAACTTCACACTTACCCTCATGTGGTCATCATGCTGCCAAAATGCTCGCATTCCACACTGTGCTCCCCCGGCCAGCTGAGCCCATAGCAGGTCTTTACAAGTGTCTAGAGCCTTCACGTAATACCTTGACTGTCAGCTGGTGGATTTGCTTTTCCTTCTGACTTCTGCCAGGGTCAGGAGCCATCTTTCATGTTCCCATGGAGCTGTTTATTTTTTGTCTTTCTTTGGGTAAGGTTATTTTCCTAAGTAAGGTGCAAGGTCTCTCAGAACAATGGAAAGCACCCTGACTTCAGAGTATGTTGCAGATTGGGCTTCTTAGAAGTGGACTCTGAGGCGGAGGTTAGCACGCAATGGGTTTTTTAGGGAGTGCTCTTAGGACCCATGTTTGCTAAAGGGAGGGAAGGAAGGAGGATCGGACAGAGGGAGGGGGCAAGCTGCAATGAGGTCTCAGTGAAATGTCCCAGCCTCCTACAGGGAGCTCTGAAGCTGGGATGACCCTTCAGGATTGTCTCACGTAGGGACAAGAGGGCCAGGTCTTTTTTTTTTTTTTTTAAGATTGTATTTATTAGAGAGAGAGGATGAGAGGGAGAGGGGGAGCAGACTCCCCGCTGAGCACAGAGCCCGATGTGGGGTCCCCATCCCAGGACCCTGAGATCATGACCCAAGCCGAAGTCAGACACTCAACTGATTGAGCCACCCAGGCACCCCAAGACGGCCAGGTCTTTGTATTCGAATGATGATGAGCCATTGGATGTAGGTCCCTTTCCGCTAGACATTCTCCACAGGAGTTGGCAGCTCAGGGCTTTCGGCCTGCTGCCCTCTAAGCAGCTGGAAAAATAGGTCCTTTATCTTGAAATGGGGTCTGAACAGGGCCTCATGGCATCTACCCCAGAATGGAAGAGCTGGGGGCTCTAGAACTGCGGCTGACCAACTG